AATACAGAAAATAAACACTATGATAAAAATAAGAAAAAATAAAAAGAGAATTAAAATGAGTGAGTGTGCCAGCACCTTTCGACACCACCATCTTTGCCAATTTTTAATTAGTTTTTGGCATTGACAAATGCCCTGAAAATTTACAGATATGTAGTTTACATAATCAATAACTCGTTAAAAAATTTTCAAAAAATAATAATTTTTTTTAGGCCCCGAAATAAAGTGAAAACAATAAGTTAAAAGTGGAAAAAAAACAAAATAGTGAGTGGGCGAGCACGTTTTGACACCCCCATCTTTGACGATTTTTAATGTTTTTTTGGCTTAGCAGAATGGCTTCAAAATTTATAGGCGTGTAGGTTACATCATAGAGAACTCACAAAAAAACATTCAGAAAAAAAAAAACTTATTTTTAGGCCCCGAAATATGTTTTGGCGGGGGCCGAACCTGGAGGTGTTCGGCCCCCGAACGGGACCCCGAACGCCCGACCGTTCGGGGGCCAGCCCGGGGGCCCCCCGAACGTTCGGTCAGGTAACCCTGTACATATATATTTTTTTAATGGAAAAAAGATTATGTTCGACCGAACATGTTCACGAGCTATTCGCGCGAATGCGCGAACACGTTCGCACGAACGTGAAGGGGCACGAACACGTTCGCCGTGCTACGCAGGATGAAACTATAGGCCCTTTAGGGACTTGCAACCGTCACACAATCTGCAAGCAAAGACTTACCAGAGAATCTCAGATACGACAACTCGATTTGAACACGCAGCATTTAACTTGAGAATAGTAGAATACATCACAACCAAATCGGTGGCCAGATACTGGCCGGATACGTGCACAAACCACTAACCTGGTGCAGGACACTCTGACATCTGTTCGTGATGCTCTGCGAGGCGTCCCTTTCCGTGTAAACAGATCTCTTTGTATGCTTTTTCGTCTGATTGCTCACTGTCTTCGTTTTCTTATTGCTGCCTTGCGTGGCGAGGCTAGCTCGATAGTCCTCCAAAACCTTGAGTGCAGCTTTCTTCCCTTGCAAGCCCACACACCACAAGAAACTTCTGTCAGCATTCTCTCTCTGAGTTTTTTTGTCTCTCTCTTTTTGTTTTGTCTTCTCCCTTCCTGAGTACGGGAAGGACACGGCTACTGCTCACATAGCGGAAATCGACGTTCCGGCCATTGAGCGATGATCGGCCTATAATAGCCCAACCCGAATGCAACAAACCGGTCATCGCGGTCAGCCTTTTTATCCTCAAACAGTCAAACCGCTTGTGCCGTCAAACCACCATTCCCTTTTCATGACCCGCTCGTTTCACGACAGGTCTCTGGAACGTCTGGTGCCGTTTCTGCGCATGGAAGAAGAACTGCGGCTGTCGGATCGGTCATCCAACGGCCCATCTGAAAATCTAGGAGGCATTTCAAAGGGGTAACAAGACTGATGGCAAATAGAGAGTGGTGGTAAATACTAAATACTAGATTGATTAGAAGCAGTACTTTTTTTTTTTTTTTTTTTTTTTTTTTAAGCCGTACATCTTACCTCTCCTTTTCTCTTGAGAGATTGAAAATTGACACTAATAATGAATTTCAAGGTGAACGTCAGCCAAAAGTTGTTTGCAATATTACAAAACATTTTCTTTCTCCTTTTTTTTTTATCTTTCTGAATTCCTAAAAAAAACAGGTTCGACGTTTTCAGTCGCCTTTACATAATGCATGATTACATTCATAGACAAGGTTTTTTTTTTTTTTTTTTTTTAATAACTAAGCTAATAAGACTGTTCTCTCAATTCCACGTTACTGAAAGGCATTCCACGATGCAGACCCCAAATTCGAATTTCAGGGTTAAGGTCTGAAGCCAAGGGAGGCCAAGTCAGCCAGATCAGAAAGGCCACAGTCGGTTACAACGTTAGGAGTCAAGTCCAACAGGCACCCGGTAAGCAAAAATCATGTCTCATATTGAAAAGTCATGTCTCATATTGAAAAGTCATGTCCCACAGGCAAGGGACACTTCTCCAGGCAAAAAATTGTGTCCCAGAGGCAAGAGTCGCATCGCACAGTCAAAAAGTGATGCTCCAGAGATGAAAAAAAAGTCGTGACTCACAGACCCAAGCAGCAGCACAGCAACGAAAATTCGGGAAAAAGTACCAGGCTTTAACATTCCGAAGCAAGCAGGCTGTGGGCATGTGGTACCGGACCCAAGTCAAGCCAAAGGAGAAGAGACTGGGACGAGTAGAGGCTCAGTCCAAGTCAATATAAGGACTGGCCAGCCACATTTCGGGGGAGATTGCTCATTCGTGAGAAGAGTGGAAGTGCTGCTGAAGCACTTGTGCGCTATCTGCGAGTAGCATGCGCGCGAGAGTCCTGCTGGGCATCGCTGCACTGACAGGGAATGCGGCCATAGCCACATACGGTAGTCGTAGTGATAGAGCTGAGTAGCAGCGGAGGTATTCAGAGTGAAGATTCTCAAGTAGGGAGACAGTAAGAGGAAGCGAGAGTGAGCGCATGCATGAAGAAGACACAGAGAGAGAGAGAGAGAGAGAGAGAGAGAGAGAGAGAGAGAGAGAGAGAGAGAGAGAGAGGCAGAGAGAGAGGAGAGTCGCTTTGCTTGCTGAGTAGCAGCGGAGGTATTCAGAGTGAAGATTCTCAAGTAGGGAGACAGTAAGAGGAAGCGAGAGTGAGCGCATGCATGAAGAAGACACAGA